ATACAAACCGTTCAGTTTGTCAACAATAAAACTGAAATGAGAGAAAGACTGAGTGTGAGACTTTGATATTAGAGAAAATGAAGATTGATAAAGTTTACCTTTATGTACAGAATCTGAATATCGCTAAATATTTTAAAAAATTGCAATAATATCATATCGTGAGTTAAATATTGTGATAATATCGTATCGTGGGATGTATGGTGATTCCCACCTCTAGTAGCTTGGCGCTATATTGTTAATAATTTGGAAGGTGAGCAGCAGGATTTCGAATTGAATGCGATACTTAACGGGAAGCCAATGCAGGTCAGCAAGGACAGGGGTGATAGAGACACGCCCCCCACTACCAGTAAGGAGACGAGCAGCATTCTGAACAATTTGGAGTCTATGGAGGAGAGTAGAGTTAAGACCAAAGTAAAGTGAGTTGCAATAATCCAACCTAGATGTCACAAAGGCGTGGATAAGCTTTCCAAGGTCCCTACGTGGAACATAATGTCTGGCCTTGCTAATAAGACGCATTGATGGAAACAAGATTTAACAACAGAGGACACTTGTTTATCGAGAGATACGATTATACTGTTTGTGTAGTCCTTTACCCTACACATACAACTGTGCAGATTGAGACGATGACCACCATCACCAGCTTCTATCCTAAATGCTTGGAATGGACTACTCCCAAGCATGGGACCAGATCCTCTCTAGAATCGCAGGTACAAGAAGGGTAATTGAACTGAGTGAGGTGTTTCTCCATTAAGCCAAAGGCGAATGGAATCTCAGAAGGATTCAAAAACGTGGGAAAGACTGTAGTTAGTAGCATTAGAATAAGTAGAAGAGTATAACATGAGAGAAATGGTTGATGGAGAAACTTAAGGTGGAAAGACGTTTTCACATCTGTCTCCCTCCCCTCAGGCTGACTGTGCTGTGTTGATTGTGGCGGCGGGCGTGGGCGAATTTGAAGCTGGCATCTCAAAGAACGGGCAGACACGTGAGCACGCCCTCCTCGCCTACACCCTGGGAGTAAAACAGCTCATCGTGGGCATCAACAAGATGGATTCCACTGAGCCCAACTACAGCCAGAAGCGCTATGAGGAGATTGTGAAGGAAGTCAGCACTTACATCAAGAAGATTGGCTACAACCCTGACACCGTGGCTTTCGTGCCCATTTCTGGCTGGAATGGGGACAACATGCTGGAGCCCAGCCCTAACGTGAGTCTGCCATGAGACCAGCTGTGACTCTTTGAAGATTTGTCTGAGACTAGCAGGG